ACACATAGTCAGACGAGCCCAGAAAAAAAAAAGCTTTAAAATTCCTATCAAGACTTACTTACAGTATACCAGTGGCGTATCTAAGCATTTTCATTATTAGCAAACCGTTTTAACAATTCCATCCGATTTTATCTTCGTTGTTAATTGAGATATTGGAACGAAAACTTTTTTGTTTAAAATCTTAAAACAATTACTATCATTTACTTGATTTAATTGGTCGGTTACATCATGGATTACTTCCAGCTATCAAAATGACCGTCATATTGGATAATATTTTTTTTAATATGTTGCTGTTAGTTCGTTTATGGAAAAAAATATGTGAATGTAAAAAATCTTTGTAAGCTTTTTAGTTCCCATTGAGACCCATTTATAGTATACCGGTGGCGTATTTAAGATTTTTGTTGTTTCTTAAGCGTATCTGTAACTAAATTTATACGATTTCAGCGCTTTTAACCACTACATCAGTCAACTACTGATAAATTAAATAGTTATTTATACATATAATAATAAGTGTATAAAGTGGCCTTCAAAAAAGGGCTTTACCATAGATATATAACCAAGACAGATAGGATTATTTACAAAATTTTTGAAGAATGAACGGTGGTGTCCGCGGTAGAAACCCAATAATCGGATTGAACATTGATGCCAAGTTTACGTGCTTTTAACTATAGATATGTATATATATATATATAACCAATACAGATTACACAATTTCTGAAGTCAACGCTGATGATCCTCGATAGAAATGCAATATTTGGATAAAATTAATATATTGATGCCAAGTTTGCGATGTTTTTAACTGTTGTAATGTTATTACGTTTGTTTGAATTACTGTTAGGTCTTTAAATTGTCAAAAAAAAAAAAAATAACGTCTGACAACAGCGGAAATAGAGTAGACCGCAATTGTGGAGGGTCGTATATTGTTTCATTCATAAAAATTCCTTCGATACAGTACTAGTCCAGGAGCCAGTGATTTTTTTTCGTACTTGTTTTCCCGGTCCGTGTATATTTAAATAATCTATTCCCGGTGAACTGTATATTTAAAATGGAACGCCAATCTATTAACAAAAGTAAGCCAGATTGAATTCGCGCATTACGTCACATCGATACAAGTGAGATTGTTTACAAAGTGCCTTTGCATGCCTATTTTGCCCATTTCATGTATTTGTTTTTAAATCATGTTAAATTACTATTTTTGAAACTCAACAAGGAGAAAATCCAATTAACTCTTCCGTTGTGTATATATATAAGATAAATTAACTGAAGTTTTATTAGTAAAATATTAACACTAAAATTTTAATGTAATTTACAGAAAATAGCTAGATATGTATTTATTTTTAAATAATTTGATAATTTATGAAAAAAGGGAGTAAAAGTGGAATGACCAGTGGCCAGTAGGTCAGTCAATACAAAGTATCATATATTTCTATTATAACATAACTAAAATACCTACATCTTTTAATCATAAGGACATAAGTTAAAAACTATTTTAATATATGCATTAGGATGAAGTAATAATAACTTAAAGAGACGAGGTCTTAAAGTAATAGCTGGTACAGCATGTTTTTTAAACGTTTCCTCATTGCTGCTAGAATGAAATCACTTACTATAAAATGTGCTCTAAAAACGGCATTTATAGCAGTCAGTGTTCAGTCTTAGGATCTCTTCCTAAAGCCCTCATCCAAGCTGCATACATATTAAAAAATAATTAAAAAAAAAACATATATACCTATATAGTTTTCGGTTCTGGGTGCCCTAAAAGAGGACACTTAGCCGACAATTTGGCTCAGATAGCTAAAACCCAAAAGTCACACCCCGAACCAGGACGTATTGCTATCCTTTTAAGTAAAAAATAACTACAAATAACTTACCTGAAAAATGAAGGCGTCTAACTTTACACCAAAAAAAAAACATACACTTTTTCCCATTGTTGCAAGCACCCGATTACGATTAGGTAGATATCAATTAGAAGCATGTACTTAATGGTTATAAAGCTTATTTTAACACAAAAAGAATAAAGCACTAGTCGAAAAGCAGCAATCAAATATAAATAGACCACAATATTAAAATTAAAAACTATATAAAAGACAAATACTCTAAAAGCGCAAAAGATCAGAACCAAATAAAATGAATAACCATAATAACCTAAAAATCACACTAAAATTGCAAAAACTATTACTGTAAAATCATGAGATTACATCAATAATGCATATGCGTCGGTGTATCGCAAATGTCAAAAGTACAGTGTTTCCATGAAAATTTAGCTGTTTTTAGCAGTATTATAGTACCATTTCTACCACGCGCATCCAACGATATTGGCGTTCCACAGTTCACTGTATTTTCCTCACACCTCTAGTATAAATGATTTGACATAACGAAACTAACAATAATTATAATTAATGTAGAGTAATAAGTGATTCGTGAATTCTAAATAAAACAATTATTATATAAAAGTGTAAAAGGAAATGTAATTTATTTCCCTATTTTCTTCTGTAATATCTTCAATTATTATGTTTAATTTCTATAAATAAACAACTGGTTAGGTGAAACATTGTGATATAAGATTTTATTTATGTGTCCTATGCGTACACTTTAATATATAAAACACCTGGAACATTCTTTAAATAATTGTGGTCGTAGAAATAATTGTGTACATAACTCGTTTGAAAGTGTATTTTATGCACTTGCCAAATATATTATCCATACAGATTAATCAGACTATTTTTTTACTTAACTTCAGTACATCTCTTACTACTAAAACTATTTTTATCAATGGAAAAAAAGGGCCGTGTTCTCGTATGTTTTGACGCATTTTCGCCTTAGCCCATCGGATCCCCCCTCTAAATATATATGAATTTTGCTTAGAATTGCTAATCCTACAATTCTCTATTCGTGCTTGCTGACTGGGAAAATAAATACCTAAAATCGTCACTGTCTCCTGGACTATACAATAGATGATGATGAGAACTTCACAACAAATACACTTTTATGAATGGCTAGTTGGGGATGTGGGCTTTACATACGAATTGCATACAATATTTCTACTACCGTACCATGATTGGTTACTTTACTCATTAGTGCGTAAACTGTTTTACTTTACGCACTAGCGCATAAAGAAAATTTAAAATAAAATGTGTCATTTGACATGCCAAAATACTAAAAATTGTGTCTTATTTACGCAGTAGTGCGTAAAAAATTTGACTTTACGCACTAGTGAAAAAAGTAAAACTTTATGCACTCCGTGGTGTGCATAACGTGCGTACTTTACGCATAGTAGTAGAATAATAAATTATTACGACACGAAACAGATCTTTAAATTAAAAAAATGTTTATTTTTATTTTAAATTTTAAAGTAGCTTAATTTTATCAGAAGGCTTTAAAAATTAATATGATAATACAAGATCTACCGTACAATAATAAATTAATATTGATACGCTCAAGAAATTAAAATTTTCAATAAAAAAGTGAGTTTCTATTTAAAAATAAAAAATAAATTGCGATTTACTGTTATTTTCGAAAAACCGGAAGAAAGTCTAGACATAACAGACCAGTTGAATGAAATATTTGACGGTATTTATTCCAAGCTTTCAAACAAAAAAGTTTTTATTCCGATATCTCAATTAATAGGGAAGATAAGAGCGGGTGGAATTATTAAACGGTTTGCTAATAAAAAAATGCTTAGATACGCCACTGGTGTACTGTAAGTAAGTCTCAATAGAAATTTTAAAGCTTACAATGATTTTATAAAGATCATACATTCCCATATTTTTTTAATAGTAACATGTTTAGAACAAATATCCAATATGGCGGCCATTTTGACAGCTGGCAGAAAATTTTTAATATACACATTTTATTCAAAAATGTCCCAGAAATTCAAATTTTCAATAAAAGGGGGGTTTTGATTTTAAATTAAAAAATAAATGGCGATTTTCAGTTATATCCGGAAAAATCGGAAGTAAGCCATGACGTCACAGACTAATTGGATCCAATATATGAAAGTATTTATCATAAGCTTTTAAACAAAAAAGTTTTTATTCCGATATCTCAATTAACAACGAAGATAAAAGAGGATGGAATTATTAAACGGTTTGCTAATAATAAAAATGCTTAAATACGCCACTGGTATACGGAGAATGAGTCTCAATGGTAATTTTAAAGCCCTCAAAGATTTTATAAAGATCATACATTCCTAAATTTTTTCCATAAACGAATTAATAGTAACATGTTTAGAAAAAATATTATCCAATATGGCGGCCATTTTGACAGCTTCCAGAAAAAAATTCAATACACGATTATTATACAAAAAAGTCCCAGAAATTCAAATTTACAATAAAAAATAGTGGGTTTCAATTTAAAAATAAAAAATAAATTGCGATTTTCTGTTACTTCCGGAAAAACCGGAAGTAAGCCGTGACGTCACGGAATAATTGAATCCTTCATAAGAAAGTATTTGTTCCACTCTTTTAAACAACAACAAAAATATTCCGATATCTCAATAAATAACGAGAGTAAGGGGGGGTGGAACTTTTAAGTGGCCCACCCTGTATACCCCTTAGTAATGCCGTATTTAAATTAATATACTTTTCGTTTTAGTTTTCAGGTCGCCTAAAAAAAATCGGTTCAACGCCTACTTTGGAAGATGTCACGAAACTTGTTTCTATTGCGGCCAAATTTTTTTTACAAAGTCACAGTTTATGTACCATTTTTTTGTTGTTCATTGTGTTAAGAAAGTAACAGAAGTTTGTAAGCGAAAATATGGACAACTTAAACATTGTCGGTCCAAAAATAGTTTACATACCATGGTCGGACATTCACCTGTAGTAAATACTATGTACTACTGTAATGAAAAACTGTTGCATTGTGAAATTTGTTCCAAAACATTTTCAACCGAAAAAAATTTAAATAATCATTCGAAAATACACAATCGTAAAAACTTTTTCAAATGTGAATTATGTTTGAAACAGTTTAACAAAAAATATACTTTAAAAAGGCATTTAAAAATGCACACTAGAGAAAAAGCGTACAAGTGTGAAATATGTTCGAAAAAGTTTACACGGAAAGATAAATTGGAAACACATTCAAAAACTCACACAAGAGAAAAATCGTTCACATGTGAAATATGTTCAAAACAGTTTATCAAGAAAGGCGGTTTAACGGTGCATTTAAGATTTCACACTGGAGAAAACCTGTTCAAGTGTAAAATTTGTTTGAAACAATTTACCCAGAAAAGCAATTTAAAGGTGCATTTAAGATTTCACACAGGAGAAAAACCGTTCAAATGTGAAATATGTTCGAAACAGTTTTTCCAGAAATGTGACTTAAAAGTGCATTTAGGAATTCACACTGGAGAAAAACCGTTCAAGTGCCCAATATGTCCGAGACAGTTTATGAGAAAAGACAGATTAGAAACACATTTAAAAAGGCATACAGGAGAAAAACCGTTTAAATGTGAAATATGTTCAAAACAGTTTACCGAGAAACGCTATTTCAAGCTGCATTCAAGATTTCACACTGGAGAAAACCTATTCAAGTGTATAATATGTTTGAAACAATTTGTCCAGAGAAGCAATTTAAAGAGGCATTTAAGAATTCACACAGGAGAAAAACCGTTCAAATGTGAAATATGTTCCAAACATTTTATGGAGAAAGGCTATTTTAAAAAGCATTTAAAAATTCACACTGAAGAAAGTAATTATGTTTAAGAGTGAAATATGTTCGAAACAGTTCATCCAGAAAGGCATTTTAAATAAGCACTTAAAAATTCATTTAAAAGAAAAATCCTTCAAATGCGAAATATGTTCGAAAAAGTTTATGTGCAAAGGCACATTCAAAAATTCACACAGGAGAAAAACTGTTTAAATGTGAAATATGTTCAAAACAGTTTATCCAGAAAGGCGATTTTAATACGCACTTAACACTTCACACTGGAGAAAACCCATTCAAGTGCGCAATATGTTCGAGCCAGTTTACACGGAAAGATAGATTAAAAACACATTTAAAAAGTCATACAGGAGAAAAACCGTTTAAATGTGAAATATGTTCAAAACAGTTTACCGAGAAATGCAGTTTAAGACCACAGAACCACCCCCAATATTCGTAACATGAACTAATTTTGATAGATGTCATTTATGTGTCATAAATTAAGAATCCTTTTGTTTAGCGTATGGAGCAATATTCCATATTTAATAGTTCTTTTGTTCAACAGATGGCGTAATAATTTTACTAATTCTAAACGGTAACTGTTATAAAATAAAATATTCATCACCCCTAGCTACTACGCGATAATAAGTAAACGAGTTCTTGACCTTGACAAATATTTTCGATGTAGCAGGTATAAAAATAAAAATGTTGTATTAAATTCAACACATCGGTATCAGTGTTTCACCAAGCCAAGTAGCTTGGCTTGAAAACAAAAAGCTTGGCTTGGCTTGAAATTCAAGCTTTCCTAAAAGAAAAAGCTTGGCTTGGCTTGATTTTTATAAGTCCAGGCTTGGCTTGTTTACCAAGCTTTTTCAAGCTTTCAAGTTTTTTCCCCCGCCTTGCCGATCACGTGTTAAGTCTACTAACCGTTTTCCCGCCGCACTCTGTGTAAATGTTCAATTTCAATTCAGTCACTGCTAGCCTTACGAAGCAAGTACTTACAAATATGAGCGCCACCAATATATCAGATATCGAGGAAGTCGAGGAACCCTTTCAAGACTGGATCTGAATATGCGGTAGAGGAAGCGGAAGGATTGTCTCCTAGCAGTTCTCGCGAAGAACATATTCAAATTAAATCCCGAAAAACAATTAAAAACATAAAGGTCTCTAATTTTTTCAAAATTAGTCAAGGACAGAGGAAAACAGACAAAACAGCAGTATGCACTTTGTGTACAAGCAAATCAACAATACTTAAAATGAAAAATGGGGCAACTACGTCTTTAAAAAGACATTTACAAAATAAACATAAGGATTCTTATGAAAAAGCTTTTCCGCAGGAGAAAAGATTTAATCCAAATCCAAATAGTTCTAGCTCTGTTATGAGCTGGCTGCAGAGCCGGACAAATCCAAGTAATGAATGTTCGGTAAGTTTTTTATTTTTTATCCTATATATTATCCCGTATCGAATTGAAATGTCAACTTTTGAGTTGTTCCGTTTCATTCTAGAATTTAAAAATTATTTGGAGTGAGGGTAGCCATATGTGAGTAGTAGGGATTAAGTTTAAGGGGTTAAAGAAAAGGTCCTTTATTTCTCACAAGTCAATTTAATTGGCGACCGGTTTCGAAGCTGTCACTTCATCATCAGGCACACCTAAATGGAATGTCAAGGAGTCAGTTGTAATAAAAAACAATTATAAAAGCATGAACGGACTTTAACATATACAAAATAACAGAAAAAACACAAAAGAAAGTTAAACAATAACCTTGACTCACCTTGACTATTTCCATAAAGGAAGCGCTACATCAAGTTTAACAAAACGAGTTAAAAAAGTCATATGTAATACAATAGTATTTTTTTTTTTAAATATTTTAGGTTAGGTTAAACCGCGAGATGTCTGTTTGAATAAATTAATTAAAACACATGTAAGACAATTATTAACTTAACAACACAAAATAGTTTTTACAAGCACAAACAGTTTAAAAATGTTTAAGGATATAACGTCAATTAACGAAAGTAAAAAGTAAAAATTATCAGACTCTCAAGACAATGTTTTCTTTATTAGTTTATTCAAGTTCTCCCACATGGTTGTCATACGCCAAAATTTGACTTTTCTTTTTTGACATTCGTACTTGTCAACTTAGTTTCCGTTTCCTGTAACAGTAATTTTTCTTTTGATTATCTGCTTCAAATTTCCCTTTTACATATGAATTTTCATATTTTCTTGTTTAGTGTTCTAATTTTCTTGTTAGTATTTTTTTGCTTTCTCATTTCCCAGTTTAATATTTTTACTTTCAATAAATTTTGTCACCGCCACCTATACTCACTTTCAGTAAATTACACCTTTGTTAGTACACTATTTATCCGCTAAATTTAAAATTTACAGTTTACTACATTGATTCGTTAAAAATCTAGATAGATGTCTTGAGAGTCTGATAATTTTTACTTTTTACTTTTTTTACTTTTTACTTTCATTAATTGACGTTATATCCTTAAAATTTTTTAAACTGTTTGTGCTTGTAAAAACTATTTTGTGTTGTCTTACATGGGTTTTAATTAATTTATTCAAACAGACATCTCGCGGTTTAACCTAAACTAAAATATTAAAAAAAAAATACTATTGTATTACATATGACTTTTTTAACTCGTTTTGTTAAACTTTATGTAGCGCTTCCTTTATGGAAATAGTCAAGGTGAGTCAAGGTTATTGTTTAACTTTCTTTTGTGTTTTTTCTGTTATTTTGTTATGTTAAAGTCCGTTCATGCTTTTATAATTGTTTTTTATTACAACTGACTCCTTGACATTCCATTTAGGTGTGCCTGATGATGAAGTGACAGCTTCGAAACCGGTCGCCAATTAAATTGGCTTGTGAGAAATAAAGGACCTTTTCTTTAACCCCTTACACTTAATTTAAAAATTAATTTGACTCCCCGGTAATTAAAATATTGAAGGGAATTTATTTTTAAGTAATCAAATAATATTATTTTGCAGAGACGAAATTCTTTTAATTTAGTATTTATATTATTTGTTTGTTTAATTCTAATTACGATCATTAGTAAATGGTCTAATTATAAGAAAAAAAAATAAAAATATTTTAAGAAATAAAATACCAGGACAGGTTTAAGAGAGGAGAATGCTCCATTTTTGGGAAGGATGTTACGATGAGTAGTTATGAAGAAATTATTTGCATAATGGATGAATAATATCAGGGTTGGCTTAATGGGAAAAAGGCCCATTTTTTTAAAAACGGCTCTTTGCTTTGAGGTTATGACTTATACAATGGATGCTATAGGCGAATGATATGGTGTAGAAATATCAGGGCTGGATTAAGGGGGAAATACATTTTTTTTTTAATAATAATAGGTTTGAGGATATGGGATATGATTTATGTAATGAAATGCTATGGACATGATTTGGTAAGATGTGGGTACATTTACTTTTTAATTAAATTTCTGACGAAAAAGGTCGCCTCTATGGCGTGCCGAACAGCTTAGTCTAATATAGTGACATAAGAGCTACTTAATAAGTACTTCCATTTAATTTAGTTTTTAATACTTAATATTACTTCACTAAAATAATTAAATTAGGTGCGCTAATTAAATTTTATTTGATATAAAAAAGGGCTAAATAGTATAATTTTAAATTGAAAATAATTTAGTAAATATATGGTTGTTTTATTAGCTGTATTAGATCAATCTTTGTTTATACAGGGTGTCCCGAAATTAGACGGTCATATTTTAACAGCGTTAATCTACACCCTAAATTAGAAGTAAAAGTTCATATAAATATAAGTCCGAAAACGTTTCTTTTCCGAGATACAAGGTGTTAAAAGTGAAGTCCTGATGACACACTTTTGTAAATATTTTCTAAACGTTTAAAGATAACTAAGTGAAATTTGGTACAAATGCTTACCTTTTTACGCTCTATTTAATGCACTTAATCTCAGTGTTTGATCATCTTTATGAGTGGGTAAATTAGGGGGGCTTAGGGTAAAATTTCCCTAAGTTTTTTTTATTGACACTTTTTAACATTTTTGACTATATAATATGGAAAACCAATGTTTTTTTTTTTTAAATAAAGCTACTTTTGTAGCATCTCGCTAGGACCCACCATTTTCAAGAGAAAAGTATTTGAACATTTCATGATAAGTTGATGTTATCTTATTTGAAAGTGTAAACAATAATTAGTAGGCCTGTGGAATCAGAAATTTGATTTTTTTTAACTTTGGAAAACTGGTCACTAAAGAAATTTCAGAAAATATTTACAAAAATGTGCCATCAGGACTTCACTTGTAACACCCTGTATCTCGAAAACGAAACGTTTTTGGACCTATGTGTATATGAACTTTTACTCCTATTTAAGGATGTAGATTACGCTGTTAAAATATAATCGTCAAATTTCGGGACACCCTGTATATCTAGAAGACAATAAAAGAACTAGATTAATTATCTTGTATATTGGACTTGATAAGATAATTTTTTTATTTCAGGATTCAACTCTTGACACAGGAACTGTAGAAGTTGAAAAACTGAATGAAATATTAGTTCAATAATACATTTGTAAAAAATATTTACCTTTCAATTTTTTTGAGGACGAGGTAAGCCGTAACTTATTTTCCTACATAAATCCAGCCATACATTTGCCTGGTAGAAACCAAATGAGATCGCTTACTCTGAGAAAGTTTACTGAAACTCAATGTTCAGTTTCAAAAATTTTGCAGTTGAATAAATCCAGGATATCTTTTACAATTGACGGTTGGTCATCTAATACAACTAGTGGATTTTATGGTATCACTGCCCATTTTATTGATGATAATTGGAAATTACATGCAACTTTATTAGATTTCATTCCTGCCAAGGGATCACATACAGGCCACTCTATTGCTCAAATATTTAATAATTCTTTAAAATTTTATCATTTAGAAAATAATATTCAAGGTGTAACAACAGACAATACCAACAGTAACTTTACTTTTGCCACAGAGTTAGAAAAGTTAAATGAAAATTTTTATTCAAGAGACATGCATTTTGTCTGTTTTGCGCATATTTTAAATTTAGGGGCGCGTGAGTTTATGCAAATTCTTCAAGTTAATATTGATGAAACAACCGAAGAAACTGATACCGAATCTGGCGAAGAAACACATTGTTTGGATTTTGAAATTTACTGTGATTCTCCAGTCAAAAAAATCAAAGCTATTGCAAAGAAAATTAAAAAATCGGAACAACTTAAAATAAATTTTGAAAAATTTTGCGAAACTTTAAATCTAAAAATGAAAATGCCCAGATTAGATGTAACTACAAGATGGAACTCCACGTTTCAAATGCTGTCTTGGGCCCTAGATTTAAAAAATGCCATTAACGTGCTTTGCGACAATGTGGACGACTTAAAGACATTTCGAGTCACTAATATTGAGTGGTCTCTTATTCAAAATGTATGCAATTATCTAACAGGATTCAGTAAACTTTCAACCACTTTGGAATCAGAAAAAAATGTTCTTTGCCAATGGTTGTAATAGGAATCAATTTATTACTAGATAAATTAGAAAAGTGGTCACGTAACTTGGATCAAAAAGTTGATAGGAACAACGTTGACGAAGCACTAATATTATCGCTTCAAGTAGCTCGCGACAAAATCTTAAAACATTATGACAAAACAAACTGGATGTATTGCGTAGTTTTAATATTGGATCCGCGACACAAAGTTGAAACTTTCTCAGCCACTAATTGGGGAAAAAGTTTAGAAACGAAGGCCGTTGAACATTTTGAGAAAATATATAAAACTACTTGCTACTGTGAAAATGACGAAGAGTTGCAAAAAAATGAATTTAATAGTTGCACTGACGCTGAAAACGATGAATTCGATATAGATTTTTAAGTTTATACAAAACATCGCGAAATAAGAATAATATTATAGCTTGGCGGTATGAAATCGATGAATATCTAGAGACATCAAGGATTGAAGGCTCCGAAGATATTCTCAATTTGTGGCGATGTCACGAGAATGTTTTCCCAAATTTAACAAAAATGGCAAAAGATTTTTTGTCCATTCCTGCAACCTCTGCATCTATAGAAAGATATTTTTCACGAGCCTCCCTTACTGTGACCAAATTACGAAATAGATTAAATGACGAATCTATTAGATGCTTGATGTGTCTAAATAGTTGGGTAGGACAAGAACTATTTTCTTAGATATTGGGAGAAACTGTCTTTTGTCCTTTAAGAATAAACTATTTTTTATTTTATCTTTAAATTATTTATTATATAAAATATTTTTGTTATTAGAATTTATGTTTTTTAATTTTATTTATTGTATTTTATTTTTATTTTTATGCTTTTCATTCTAAAGTTATGCTATTGAAATCTATTGCTTTTTATATTCATGTTCATTATAAAAGTTATGTAAAAAAAAACTTATTTTTCATTTCCTTTACCGAATTAAGAAAACAAAATAATAATTTTATTTCATACCATGTAAGAAAACAGTTAAGTGTTTTGAGTTATATTATTTATTGCAGTTATAATTAAATTATTTAATTTTTTTAATTATCATGAATGTAATATTTCTCATACATGCAAGTAAATATAATTTATCATATTATGTATATTTCTTGTACTGATACAAAAATATATGTTAGAAATAAATGAAGATCGATAATGATAAGATTTTATACCTAACCCAGCAAACATTTTCTATAACATTAGTTATAACTCGACTTTGTTAAAGACGAATTTACTTATTGAGGTAATTATTACGTAAAATTGACTAGAAAAATATACCTCTAGTGTAAATTTACCAAACGGTTTTAATTTATATTTAAATTTACGTAAATTATACCAAGAAATCTACCTTTTACCCAAATCTGCTTAAAAGTAACTTTAACCATATCAGCAAGGGAAAAACTACTAAAAAAAATAACCAACAATTACTTCAAAGTTAAATTTCCTTTGTAGTAAAATTAGGTGCCATATTTAGGTAATATCTACCTGTTTGGCAACTAAAAATCGTCTTTATAGTAGAATATCCAACTAGGTAGATTTGGTTAAAAATTCTACGTAATTTTATGCCTCCATAGTAACCTATTTGGCCGCTTTTATTTACTCTCCTTTAAAGTAATATTAGGTCGAGATTGTAGCAAAATTCTACCTGTTTATCTACCTAATTTCAACCAAATAGTCGAATACTCATTTAGTTGACCTATAAGTCATCTTGAAGAAATATTTATTAACTTTGTTGTAGCAATTACCTGAAAAATCTACCACAAAGTAAATTCGACTAAAAACCACCAATTTAAAAAGGGTCATACATGACCTATTTGTAAAATTTATATTATTTAGGTTATTTTAACAATTAGGTTGTTCAGTTACTGTCTTCGTCATTATTCTTAAGAATTTCGGCCATTTTAAAAACCATTACAGTCGTAATCTTAATTTACGTGTGGTGTAGATAGAGCTTTAAATGAATGCGAAAAATAATAAAATGAGTTCGAAAAATAATAAATCATATCGTTATACTTCCAATTTTTATCGTAAAGTGAAACATCTAAATTCTCAAGTGCAGAACAACGTGACCTAAATATGTTATATTTACCTATAGGTAAATTTTTTATAAAACTTATAAGTTATTATTTCTTTAAATAGGTAAAGTTAACCAATATGTCGTGAAATTGAAGTTAATTCAACTTAGTAAAAAGGTATTTGTAAAATACGTAGATTTCCTTAGTCATAATAACTTTTAGGTCGAATTCGCACAATACGCCATATTTTCTTAACGTAATTGAAGTAGATTCCAAATTTTAAATTTTTAAAATGACCATAACTAGAACATACGAATGAAAATACCGAAAAACGAAACATTATTGATTTTCTAAAGTGATACACAACAAACGTAACATAGTTTTAGCTCATAATATTATTATTTTTTACACGATCATATTTTTTTCTTATATTTTTCTATTTAGAGAGTATTTTGGAAGGGCATTGTTATTTTTCTAAGTAGAACTGTTAACATGCACGACAAAATTTTCTTCGCATTAATTTCAACAAACGTGAACTGTATATTCACCGCAATTATACAGGGTTTTTAAAAAAAAGTGTAACAAAATGAAATGGTGAATAGTATGACCCAAAATAAGCAGAAAAGTCTTAATAAATATATGACCGCAAATTAACGGTTTCGGAGATACGGACCATTTTGTGTTTATAACAATTTTTTATTATTATAAAAAAACAATGCTATTTATAAACAATCAATAACAACATAGAGTTAAATGAGATGTTCAAAGTGTCCTCCCTCCATTTCAATGCATTGCCATTTGCACGACCGTACATAAAATGCATGTCAGCTAATTCAATATTAGTGTAAACAGGCATAACGAAAATTTATAAAATTATTCACCCACAACAAAATAATAACTGCAAATAGTATCTATGAAAAAACATCGGTAGACTCCGATAAGAAAAGCAAGTTTTTGAGAATGAAAAAAGATAATCAAAAAATGATACAAAACACAAAACACTCCGTATCTCTGAAACCATTCATTTGCGGACATATGTTTATTAAGACTTTTCTGCATATTTTGGCCCATACTACCCCCCGTTTTATTTTGTGACACTTTTTTTTTAACACCCTGTATATATTTTTGTCACCGACATTTATTTATTTTCAATCTTTCATGTGAATTAGGTATATGTTTTAGTTGTGTTGGTGACTTCTTACAATATTTCTACTTATATATAGATAAAAATACCAAATAAGTATAAAATTTCTTTTCGTACACTTGGAGGCATACGTCATCTGCAAATATTTTGGTAGTTTCTACCTAAACTTAGTTAAATCAACGTCGAATTAACGTTATACTGACGTCAAATTTCCCTAGAGAGGTATTACTAACCAAACGTACTGGGCTACTACAATGTGGATTTAGATGTAATTCTACCTATTTTGGTAAATAAAACCAAATTTCGACGTCGTCTTATTCTCCACTTATGTCGAATTACACCAAAATGTTTGCTGGGAAATCACCTATTCTTTTTAGAAGTCCCTTTCTATTCAACGCACATCTATCAATTTCCTGATAGAATATTGGATTTTCTAGTAATTACTTTAAATAAATTTTGTAAATTATTTTAAACAGTTAACGTAAATAATTTCTTCAAAAGCTTGAAAGCTTGAAAAAGCTTGAAAACTTGACTTGAAAAAGCTTGGCGGTTCAAGCTTTTTTTAAAAAAAAGCTTGGCTTGGCTTGAAAAAAAAAAGTTAGGCTTGGCTTGGTATTTTTCGAAGCTTGATTTGAAGCCAAGCTTTTAAAAAACAAGCCAAGCCTGTGAATCTCTGATCGGTATATTTACTTAGTAGTTCATTCTTGTATACATGGTGTTTCGTTAAGAATGGGACATAGAACAACTGACGATTCTCTGATTAAAAATAAGACAACTAAACAAATCATCCTTAGATAAAATGATTCTCGGTACCGAATTACGGTGTTAAAATCCAAAAAATATTTATAGCTATATTTTTTTATTACTCACAAAAATTTTACTAAATTGGGCAAACGTTTTTGGGGTCAAATTATCCACCTATCAGCAAAAAAATTAGTTACCTTAATTAACTTTTCCAGTGGCGTGCAGCATTGGTACGTAATACCCACATCCCCAACTAGCCATTCATAAAAGTGTATTTGTTGTGAAGTTCTCATCATCATCTATTGTATAGTCCAGGAGACAGTGACGATTTTCGGTATTTATTTTCCTAGTCAGCAAGCACGAATAGAGAATTGTAGGATTAGCAATTCAAAGCAAAATTCATATATATTTAGAGGGGGGATCCGATGGGCTGAGGCCGAAAATGCGTCAAAACATACGAGAGCTCGGCCCTTTTTTTCCATTGATAAAAATAGTTTTAGTAGTAAGAGATGTACTGAAGTTAAGTAAAAAAATAGTCTGATTAATCTGTATGGATAATATATTTGGCAAGTGCATAAAATACACTTTCAAACGAGTTATGTACACAATTATTTCTACGACCACAATTATTTAAAGAATGTTCCAGGTGTTTTGTATATTAAAGTGTACGCATAGGACACATAAATAAAATCTTATATCACAATGTTTCACCTAACCAGTTGGTTTATTTATAGAAATTAAACATAATAATTGAAGATATTACAGAAGAAAATAGGGAAATAAATTACATTTCCTTTTACACTTTTATATAATAATTGTTTTATTTAGAATTCACGAATCACTTATTAATTATAATTATTGTTAGTTTCGTTATGTCAAATCATTTATACTAGAGGTGTGAGGAAAATACAGTGAACTGTGGAACGGGGTGTGACTTTTGGGTTTTAGCTATCTGAGCCAAATTCTCGGCTAAGTGTCCTCTTTTAGGGCACCCAGAACCGAAAACTATATAGGTATATAATATGTTTTTTTTTTAATTATTTTTGAATATGTATGCAGCTTGGATGAGGGCTTTAGGAAGAGATCCTAAGACTGAACACTGACTGCTATAAATTCCGTTTTTAGAGCACATTTCATAGTAAGTGATTTCATTCTAGCAGCAATGAGGAAACGTTTAAAAAACATGCTGTACCAGCTATTACTTTAAGACCTTGTCTCTTTAAGTTATTATTACTTCATTCTAATGCATATATTAAAATGGTTATTATTATTAAAATTATTTAAAAACAAATACATACCTAGCTATTTTCTGTAAATTACATTAAAATTTTAGTATTAATACTTTACTAATAAAACTTCAGTTAATTTATCTTATATATATACACAACGGAAGAGTTAATTGGATTTTCTCCTTATTGAGTTTCAAAAATAGTAATTTAACATGATTTAAAAACAAATACATGAAATGGGCAA